ACAAAAGGCTTAACAAACAAAAATGAGAAGACATTTATAACAACCTAAGTGATTTTAAAAACTAGCATATATCAAAGCAGCAGTGCTGTACAACCAACAATCAGTATTCATTCTAGAACAACTGAGCATAAAAGCTGTAGTTTATAAGTACAAATAGCAACTAAAAGAATATGCTCTCAAAACACAGCACATTTCTTAATTATGTGATATCCTAGAATTTCTTCTGTTAGCAGATAAAACCTTGAACAAAATATCCCCTATAAAAGCTAGCATGGAGAATGAAATGATAAGTGACTGCTGAAGGAAAGATTTATACATCCTGGAGGGTCCACATTCCTATCTATAAGGGATATCTCAGCAAGGAAACTCCAAAGCAAGATAAAGTGTAGACAATTGCATGTATACTTTCAATGCAATAAAAAATATACAAAGACATAAAAAGTGCTTCTGGTCTGAAAATCAGCTGCTTCATAAAGAATTACAATTACGGAGTATGGCTCCTTTCTACTCAAAAAAAGAGAGTGATTAAGCTACAGCAATAATTAAAATGTTGCTTTGTCTTACCCAAAAGGATCACCAACTACAAGAAATGCGACATCACAAACATCAGCTTCTTTTAAAATGCTATCTGCTTCTTGTTCCACCATTTCTCGGTCAGCCAAAATCAATTCTTTTCCATAGAATTCTTCCTAGAAATTGAAATTGATAAGAAACATCATAATAAGACCCTTAGGACTGTTTTCATATCTCTCTGAGTGCTCACTCAGGAACACAGACAACAGACACTGGAAAGCCAACTTTATTGTTCTCCCCAGCAGTCCGACCCATGTCTTAGAGAACCCTGCCTCCCCTTGCAAGAACACCTGAGCTTCCCCTAAAGCAGCTCCCAAGTTGACAAAAATTAGTCAAGCGCATTATTCTGATACTGACTTGTTTTTTTTATGCCTTCTGTGTCAGTTGAGGAGCTGGTCCAAAAGTAGCTCAATCACACCTGCATACTGAAGGTACCTGGGTGGACTCTAGGTATAGTTAATTTAACTGGTCATCCTACTGTAAGGCATCCCCTCTCGCAGGTCTGAGCCTAACTGCTTACGTTAGTTACAATACCGACATCAAACCAGATACAAATACAACGCTAGCTGTATCACAACCTAGTTTTTTAGATTTTTCCTTAGTACACTGTAACTAACCACATCTAAGGAATGATTTCATATTAATCCTTCATCTTCAGTTCTCTGTAAGGAATACTTTACTATGTATACAGGTAAGTATACATAGTATATATATGTAAGTATATATATACATACATATATAAGTATATACACACATATATATAAGTGTATATATATATAAATATATATATATGTATGTAAGTATATACATATATAAGTACAGGTATATATCGATATCATGTCCTTTGCTTTTCTTCAGCAGCTCAGTAATTATCGTGTCTCTTTGTACATTTTAAATGCCTTTATTTCCAGAATCAACCTCACATGTGTACTAAAACTTCAGTTAGTTCTAGAACATGTTGTTTGACCACCCTGAACCTATCTGTCTCTAAGTCATGTGTCACCATACATTTCACATGTTCTTTACATTATTAGATAAAGGGTATTTTCCAGGTCATAGACGAAAAAAGATGGCTTTGTTCTAAACAGTATTCAGAAAATTTGGGTGGTATTACAAATATTAACAAATTGATAGAACTATTAAGTCAGTTATGGTCCAGAAAGATTTTCCTCTCACTTCTCCTGTGACTTCAGTGAAGCTTCATCTTTGCCCGCCAAGAATAGTGAATTGACAAGAGAACCATCATACTTGTATGGAAGCAGAGTAGTGCTTCCATAAAATAAAATCCATCCCATGGGCTAGAATACTAGATATGGGACCTCTGTTACTGAGTTCGGTTCGCTTTTCTAAAGATGACTTCCTCACCATTTTTTAATAAATGTCTCTACCTCTGTACAATGAGGATATTATTTTCCTTGTGAAACAGACTGCAACCGGTACAGATTTGATAGAAAGGGGACCAAATAAATGTATAAGCAGCTCTTGTATCATTGATTCAGAACAGTTAACGGCCACCCTGGAGTACTGCTGAGGTCTATACTAAACAAACGATGACAAATTTTGACACCCCATTTGTTTTTGTTAGGTATCTTACACTAGATGCACATCAGCAAGTAGGACAGCAGAACAGGAGCTGATCTATAAAGCAAAGCACTTGGTGCTGAGAACTCAATAACAATGCTACATACATTTTGGTGGGTTTACCATTGGACCGGACTGGCTTTAGTCCAGTACTGTAAGCGAATGCACACTATAGAGCATATTAGGTGCATTCCTAGAAGCACACCTTTCCGTTTGTTTTCATCTAATGGAATCTATTTGCATGCTTTGAGACTGCTCCACAGTGCAACTCAAAGCACATTAATTAGAGAATATATAAAAAGCACTCTCCTGCCAAAAACTAAAATGTAGACCCACTAGGAGGTTACTAGGTCCAAACAGTTCTTTCACCAAACTGAGGGCCAATTTAGATGGTCAACATCAAATAGCTTTTAGCATACGTTTTAGGCCAACAAGATAAACTAAGCAAGTCGTGTCATTTGAATTGTGAGATCTGATTTTAAAAGCATCAGCACAGGAGGATTTCTAGAAAATACCTGCAGGAAAGAATCTGGGTTTTATCTCTTGAGAGCTTTCCCGTAACTTTTTGTGTTGCTTAGGACAGACTGACCTTCAGATTGATAAATAAACCGTTCAGCATTGTCACTTGTATGTAAACGGGTCTGTATTATCAGCACTTGGTGATTAATTCCTATATTCCCTCTTAGGCTGTTTCAGGTAAGACAGCATCTTTTACTTTGTTTTTATGGATCATTTTTCCCAATTACCTCATCTTTGGGACTTCAAGGTTTCCAAAAGACTTCAAACAATAAAAACCAAACCAAACAAACCCCCAAAAATAACCACGCCAAAAATATTGAGCATTTTTCTATTATTTGATGTTTTATTTTCAGCTGGCTAGGAATTAATCAACTTTTTTATAGCAAATGCAAAGTAAAAATATCCAAGTAATCATTTCTATTTTGCAATTTTCCAACTATCCAACAACAACAAAAAAATAACATTTTGTTTTGAATTAATTAATTTCAATTCAGATTGTTTCAGTACCGAAAAAAACCAGAAAAACATGGAGGGTATCTTCATTTCAAAATACAGCAGATATACCAGAGATGGCCCCAAATATTCTAGCCTAGCTTGTTTCTGGAAACCACATAATGCTGACTACAAGCTAAACGTCTCATGTCCTGTATGTACATACAGGTATGCATACAAGTATATTATGGCTATACAGCATCCAAGACCCAGACAGCATCTCTGTATACAACGCAGCTTATTTGTAGGCGAGATCCCTGTTCTGTGGGTAGGTAAGCTCTTTTTTTTTGGTATTATTTCAACATTAAACTGTATCTTTCTATGACCAGTGAACCCATCAGAGTTATAATTTGTATATTTTTAGTACTGTCATCTTCCATAAGGTGTGTTTACTAACAAAAAGCTTATCTCCATGTTGTTCAACAGCCCATCTCTGACTGAACTGTGTGTGTTCTGGAAGTCTCAATGTGGTGAGACAGCTCGGCCCACAAGGAAACATGGAAACGTGAGACATTCAAATTATTATTCCCAGCAGGCACACCATAATACCTCAGGCTGATACAGAGGTTCAAGGCTTCAAAACATAGAATCATTTAGGTTGGAAAAGACCTTTAAGATCATTGAGTCTAACTGTAAACCATCGTTTGTCTTGGAACAAAAAGACTGTGCCAGAGATCTCCGACACCCCCCCATAATCCTATGGCCATCAGCTGAATTACTCTACATTAGTAATTTAATGAAGCCCCTAAATGTGCAGTGAATGTCTGTCAGTACTCTATGCTTTTTAGAAATATCAGATAAATAAATCGGTTCACTAGTTCTGGGACATAAGTCTTCCCCCCACCTGGGAGGGGGAAACCCATAATACTATCTTGCCCAGGTAAACATCTAGCATGTCAGCAAGTTTGTAAAAGTTGCCTTGGCATATGTAGAGTGCAAAACAAAAGGTCTGGGGAGGTGAGGACAACATGTATTTTTCTGGTACGTCTTTTGATTTTTTTGTTTTTGAACAGATCAGACATTTTTCTAATCAGGTCCTCCAATATTTCAGGATCGCCATACACTGACAGAATTTGAGATACAAACTAGTGTCAGTACTTGTAGGAAGGAAAATTTTATTTTCGTTCCAGTCTTCTCACAAGGTAGTGAAACGATTTCTCCTATAAAATACAGTATGTGGAGGTCACGTAGATACTTTTCCCAACAACACGCATCTCCTGCGGATGCTACTGACCCACCAGCCCCAGCAACCTCCTCGCTCGCTGGTGCGACAGGCGGCCAGACCTACCAGCGCTTCCTTGCCCACCGTGAGGAGGGACGTGTAGGCCTCCAGGTACACCCTGCCGCACCGCCTCACCGCCTCCAGCCCCTTCACCGTGATGTCCTTGGCATCTCCCAAGCCCAGCCCGACCAGGTACAGCATGCTTGGGGAGGCCCTCACTGCCGCCAGGCCCAGCGCCGCCGCCGCCTATCACGGGAGGGAAACGGGGATCAGCCCGGACGCCTCACGCCTCACCCCGCCCC